CATTTCAATCAAATGAAAAAGAAAAAAAAAGGATTTGAATGATTATTTATATAGCTGTGATGATTGTTTCAGGATTAATTTTAAAAGAATTAAGTAACAATCATATAAGTAATTATCATATAAGTTATTAATTTTCATAAAAATTTTACTTGGCTAAACGTACTACCAGCTATTAACATCAAAATTTTCGTTGACATGATCGTCGAAACTAAACCTCTATGGATACCCTCAATTAATATTATGTCCATGTAAAAATAAATATATCATGTTTAAATCACGAATTTTAATTGCCCAATTACTCGTGTCTTTTACAATATTCTGTAAAATTATGTAAGCACATAAAAAAATCTTGTTTTAAGTTTTATAATTATATTACGAATATTTATCATCGTCACCATGTTATAGTAACAAATGTGAGTCTCTTTAACGTTGCAGATTCGTTACTTTAACATGGTGCCAACGACATGTCTAACATCCTGTAGATTGTCAAATAAATTTAACTAATATTATTCTCATTCTAATTATTTCCTAATTGTGTATCCATATATTATGTAAAATCTCTTTTAAACGAATGTTCGATACACAATTCAAAAATTAGTACTTCTTAAAACCGGTTTTCTGAGTAATTATGCTCTATTAAGTATATATAGGGAGCATTTGAAAAATGTTACGAGATTAATTACCGCGATGTACAGATTAAGTAACCATGTTTTAGGAAGAAGGGAAGAGGATAATACACTTGTAGTGTGGTGTAGTCAACCTTAGCTACGCTACTGGCCTAATAACAGCTTACAAATGTTATTTTAGGAACCTATCTATATTTTTTTTTTTAATCTTTTTATTGAGAAATAATACATTTTGCCACATTTAAGGGCACTGAGTACTAAAGCCGAGTGAGGCCCATTCATACTATATACACAACACAATAAAAAATAAATAAATAAATAAAAATATATATCTATATAACAAAGGTAAAAACTATAAAACCAAAGAAAAGTAACTTGAAATCAAATTTTTAAAAAAATACAGAAATTGGTAGCAAATTAAATAATTCATAAGTAAAACAAATAAATATATAAAAAAGAAAAACAATCATACTTAATCACAATATTTACAATCAGACAAGGGAGCTCCGAGTCCAGCCCTTTCCTCCACGTGTGAAAGACAAAGCGAGACTCTAAGAGATCCTAGCGCTTCCCTCTCAGCCGCGTCACCGGCAGGAGTCCAGTGGAAACTGAGAGAGGACACTAAAGCAACAGACGCTCATGACGTGAGTGGAGATGCTGGCCATTGCCAGAACTCCAGTGAAAGTCTTTATAAAAGGTCTCGAGGCCACTGCCGTTTCAACCTTCGAGGAGGGTTGTAGGGATGACTGGAGCTGGATAAGGATTGTGCTAAGGAGTTAGGATGGTGGATTAGGTTCAGATGAAAATTTGAGAATCGAGATGGAATAACGTCAAGGACATAAGGGATGTAAAGGTCATGATGTGGGGTTTTGTTTGTAACATAATAAGGAGCATTGAATGACTGAAAGGATTGGATGCGTTTGATGTTCGAAAATTTAGTTGTCTCCCACAGTTCAAGTCCGTAGTTCCAGTTGGGTTTGAGTAAGGTCTTGTATATTAATAGTTTGTTTTCTATTGAGAGATTAGATTTTTTGTTAAGTAGTCGATATAGCTGGCCAAATCGTCGGTTAAGTTCTTGTCTTTTAAGTTTGGTGTGTGTGTTCCAAGTTAGTCTTTTTATCTATATATTTTTTTTTTTTTTAGACACATAATATTCTGTCACGGGGACAATAATTATATTGATAAATGAACACATTCACACCGTGTATACAAAAAAATAAAAATCTATAATTAGAAATCAGGAAGTCAACAAAACAAAAATATGTTGTAACAAGATGTTTTGATGTAATTTACTGTCTCTAGACCTACTGTGTTTTTATTATATATTTTTCTGTCTATTATAACGCTTAGCACAAACTTTTTATTGCAGTCTCCGAAATTTGAGGAGGAAGACGAGATTTTGAGCTTGTCTGATCTACGCCGTCCGGAATACTGCGGCTGCACTGTCGATGAGATCTTAAAGAAGAAAAACAGAAAGCGCACTACGTTCGTAGACGTTTCAAATCCTGAAGATTTGCCGGTAGGTCTTACAAAATAAAAAACAGCAGAGGAATGTCTTTTTAAAAATATTAATCCTTTGGCGTGCAAAGTCCAATACAAATGTATAGTTAGTACTATATTCAATAATAGGTTTAGAAGATAATAAGATTGCTGGATGAAACAAAAAATAAGTAGATTTTTCGATTTTTCAAAATCAATAAAAAGTAGCTAAAATACAATTGCAGGAAATATAAAAAAAATTATGTTTTTATAAAGATTCTTGACATTCAATGGTTTTAAACGAAAATATATAAATATTTTTTCTATCACAAACCATAGTCCCTGTGAGCTCACAGTAAGTATGTCACCTATGCCAACCAAATATTTTTTGGCAGAAGTTGCACCATCATAAATTGTCGTACGTTTCCCTCTTGGCGTATGGCTTCTCTATCTCCACGAAAGTATAGTACAATCTCTTGATTGCAAATATTTTCTCGATATCAGGTGATGGCCACGAAAAATAAAAGTGGTGGAACTTTATTTTTTACTCCCTGGCTGCTCCTTATTCTCCTTCTGTTGGTTACCTGACGTACTTTGTTACTGAGATAACTGTCACTAGTTTCTAAATTATTGACTCTTATTTTTAACAATTTTGGGTCTGCTGAAGAAGATGATCTTTTTCGCTCAATAACGATGACCCATTCATTGTTTACTTCATTAATAGTAGAAGGGCCTGCATCTTGCTAAAGATGTTGTCCATATTATCTATTTCTTCGGGCATTGTCACCTCACTCTAATTGTTATTTTTTTAACAACACTAACTGTTGTTAGTGAACAACAAGCATTTTTAGCTCAAAATACTAATATATGTTATTAAATTTTGGAATCAACGCCTATATTACAATTAAAATTTGTAAATACCCTTTAATGATTCACTGACTCAAAATAAAATTTAAAAAATGTCTTTTCTGAATTTTAAAACACGCTTTTTATTCTTATAACGTGAAAAAAGTATAATTTAAGCATCGACAATGAAGACACGTGTTCACTCTTATGTTACACTAGTTTAATTCTAAATTAATTAGTTGAAATAATTTAAGTTAACTAATGTTAACTCAAATTAAACTGATCCGACAGAGTATCATATACATTTATTTATTTATTTTCTTATTCATATTATCATCTTGTTTTGGTTTACTAACTACAACATACCACTCGAGCTAATTGATATTATATGAGTCCTGAGTCTCATACACCTGATTAGTACACGCATGATAGATAAATCTAAATTTTATTTTATAATGAAATAAGCCTGGATTATTAATGTTTAACAGTGCAAAATTCTGTTAGCTGGGCCTTTTGGAGGTCAGCAAAAAACTTCCGATCGGAAAGGATTACAAATTAAAGAATACGAGAATGACGAGGGTGAAAATGAACCCTCAAACTATAGAAGATATTAAGTATTTGGCCATATTAAATGAACCTTTCCTAAATAATTACCGGAGAGTAATGTTGAATTAGATATAGAAGGAAGAAGGAAAGTAATGAAACAAGATTCAAAGAGGAGGGCTTTAGTGATCAAGCCCTTGCTCCAATATTTTTTTCATTAGTACACGTTTCTTTCTTTAAGTGATCTGTGCCAAATAAATAAAATCACAACATGTTCTATTTTTTAAATATAATGCTACCAAATGTAATTAGGTGTCAAATAAAAATATAACTGTTTCCCTTAAAAGCATTATTATTGTTGTAACTATCGTCACTTAAAAAAAATAAATAGTTATCCCCCAAAATTGAATCCTGAATAAAAAAAAATCAGAAAACTTCATAACATGAAGAATTCTATTAATACGAGTATATAACGCTAAATTTAACGAAATTTGTGGAAATGCGTAGTGATTATGCCTATTATCACAAAATACTTCCAAAAACTGTTGCAGACGATCTATAGACGTCGACACAGTACCTATTAATTTTTCAGCAGAACATTTTACAATATATTTTGTAAAGACTTTTTCAATGATTTTACTGTTATATAAAAAAAAAATACATTTAATTTTTTCGCAGATTTAATTGTTGCTTCGATAAAGCTCAGTGAAAACACACTCATGTCAAGCTTGAGCCCTAAAGAACTTTCATAGTTATTTGTTGAAGGAACGATTAGCGACCAAAATTAAAATAGTATTCAATTGTTGATTGACACACCATAAAAACAATGGTATACGAATAACGGATGTAAGGTATACTAGGAGACCAATATGTAGCAGGAGCTCAAGCTAGTATCAGTGTGATAGTAATGTAACGGTTACAAAACGTAACAAGATTTCTCGTGAAATCGGTTCCTGTGAAAATACAACTAATGCGAAAATAACAACCCATGTGTCTATTCTCTATCAGTATCGATTGAAGAAATATCGGTTTTCGAAAACTACGGGGGTCTGTCTATCCGTCGACAGCCAATGATTTGTCAATTTTTGGAAGTATCGGGAGAACAGCCTGGATTAGGAGCTAGCTGTTAGCGTGGGCTGCTGAGCCGAGTATCCACTGGTCAGGTGTAGCGGGTTAGCATCCTAACCGCTTTTGTTATTAACAGGGACCTATCAACCACAATAAGAGCCAAGCAGCTCATCGTTGAGAAGAATGTTAAACTCAAAACGTCCATAAAGTTAGCATTAAAGATTTGTTTTTCCTTTTTGCTAAATTTGTGTACATCGTGTACTCGGTAGTACATCGCATATTATAACATACCATTTAAAACAAAGAAATAAATAATAAATGGATCAATAATAAATATTATTATTGTTTATCTAAACCGGTTGTATGGCAAAGTTGACTTAAATATTACATGTATATGTGTGTGTAAGTGTGTGTGTTTGTGTCAGAGAGATTGTGAGTATGTGGAATTTTTTCCAGTCTTGGAGTCGTCGACGAACCGACGACAGTCCGTTCTGGAAGAGCAAAAGGTCCGGTGCAAACCAGTCGCAGAGACGCAATATTACTACCAGAAAACCGTGCAGGAGTTTTGTAGAAGATAGAGACGTGAATCCAGATTTGGTGAGTATTTTTATAACAACATAATTCAAATTATAACAATCTAACAAAGTGGTAATATTCCATCACGTTTTGTACCACGAAGTAAAATACAACAATAATCACAAACAAAATTATGCTAAACTATATTTTTTTAATAGATTAAGTACTATAGTATGAGTATTATGATATATTTGATAGTCATTATGTTTATATTAGATTAGATTATCAATATATACTACTAAATTATAACATGACCTATATTTTTTTCAATAGTAAAATTTACTGTGTTGTCGTAAAAGTACTAACTTCAAAAGCATGTAAAGGATACAGCAAGTCTTTGTTATTATTATTATTTTTTTAAGAATTTAATTTATTCATCTATACCTAAATTGTTGTCCCCTTCAAAATATTCCACATTAGTTATTATAGACATTTTATCTCCTGCCTTTGAAGCACTTCTGGAACTCGATCATTGGGATAGCATATATAGTACAATAAATCATGGGAAAAAACGCAAAATTAATAAATAAAAAAACAAATAAACTGAAACGTGTCATTAATATTTCATTTCCATGACGTATGGTAAAATGCCCGGAAGAACAGAAAACGGATTTTGTTTTCTGGATATTTCAAACACAAAATTCTAATTATTCTGCAGCATCTTCTTGCTAAGATCAATGGTTATATTAATATAATACGGAGAATTCTACAAACGAATTGTGTCAAGAAATCAGATCAAAGGTCACAAAGGTACAGAAGAGATGAAAGTACGCGAATACGGATGTGGCCTGTTGCCATCAGTGCCTGGAGATATACCTTCTAAAACAAGATAAACTGGAACAAAAACATATTGTCTGTCTATTTCCTCTCGTACTGTTGGTTGAGTTTAATGTTCTCTCGAATATAAGTGGTGACAGTTTATTAATTTTTTCGTTCCAAATTCAGTATTCCTGGCGTTGCTAGATCAAACTATCTCTATAACAAGTAGATTGATGCGAACAGTGATGATTATATCTTTAATCTCACAGAGGAGGGCGGGAAGATACTTTGTAAGTTGTGGAAGAATATGCTGAGAGGATTCGAGGATATAAAAAAAAAATATCTTTTAATCTGGAAGGGATGGAAGCCTCCATGAAGAAAGTGTGGTGCCTGCACATGTCCTCTCCATGAAGTAGGTCCGGAAATTTCAGCTTACATTTTCAAAATTAATATTTATTTGAACGATCGCAGACATAAAAAAAAAAACTTTAAAATGAAAGTATTCCAACCACGCTTTTTGTGTTAGACTATCTTTCCTAAATATCCCTACGAAGACCAATAACTATTTGTGTTCTAAGAGATTTCTCCAGTTTTCACCAAATCAACCGTGAAAATACAAATTAAAAAGCAACTTATACTGATTGCCTTAAAAATTAGCGGTATTTGAAGGTATATTGAATAAATATTTTTAATTCTTAGGAAGGAATAAATAATTCATAATAAACAGTTCATTAATAATCCTAAATAATAAATCCCATTAATAAATAGTTCTTTGGTTTTCGTTGTTGTGACAGTAACTCAATCACAGCGTAAGAATTAACGGAAATAAACTAGCTACACTAAACTATATGGTGGGAATTATTTGATTTTTTAGTAGATGAATCGTGTGAAAAAATAGCTTGCTCATATTTGGTTACTTAGAAGCACAAATGACTTTTCTGTTTATGCATTTATAAAGAAATCTTAGGCTGTGTGAGTCAATAAATGACCATGACCTCAATTAACCATATTTATTTACTTATGTCTATACAGCACTTTATGTACGTTTGTATAAACAAGAAAGGATTTATTGCAGCCATTACCATTACCATAATCGAGTTTATACTTATGACATAACATGAGGTTTTTCCAAGTTTTTCTAATACGTATTATATGAGGTTTTCATGAATTCAAAATGTTTTATGTAAGGCAATTTCAAAGCTAAAAAAAATCATTCATTCTGTGACAAAGATTGGTACATCTTTTTATATTTAATTCATTAAAAAAGTGGTTGTTTCAAAATCTAAACCAAAATGTGAAATTTGTCTATGATTTTTCGTAGGAGTCTAGTGTGTATGAAATTCGACAATGTTATATCAGTAAAATTTTAATGTCTTAGCTTAAAAGGTACTGAAATATATTTCAAATTTTAGTAACTTTTTCTGTGAAATGTTATATCTTAATTTTCGCAGTTTGAAATCAATCCTTAAATATCAAATTTTATAACTTTTTTAGTTTTTAAATTAATGGAAAAGCCAAAACCGTATTTTCAGTAGTCTTTATCCGCAAACCAATAGTCTGTAAATCTAATAAATATAAACAAAAAAAAATAATAAAAATGAAATAACAGAACTCAAACCCATCCAATTTATACTTCCTCCTACCTATATATGAAATAGTAAAGGAAAGTATCGCAATCGTGAAAATTTTCGAACCCGAATTTTCAAAGCAAATATACGTTTTGACGTTTCCTGAGCCCAAATAATCTAGTCTCGCAAAATGATTGGTTGACGACTTGTCCATAAAAATATCATTAATAAATATTTAGCTGGTAGGTTTAACCAAGAAAAAAAAAAAAATATATATATATATATATATATATATATATACACATATCTATACAAATATATATGTATAGTGTATATATGTATACACTGCAAAATTCTGTAAGGACGATTTTTTCGGAAAATCACTACTATAACCTCTACTGGTTAGCCTAAGATACGTATAGTTCGCTTCTGACAATGTGCCCATTCATTGGTGCCCAAATAATTTTGAATATTTTGGTTAAAATGTCTCATAGTTCTTGTTTACTAATTTGTTTATTTTCTTACTCTTATTACTCACTTATTTTTTCATTATTCACTTTTATTTTGCTTATCCGTACTTTTCTTAATTTTTTTTCAGAATATGATATATGCCTCATTTCCTCTAAGCTAATTTCTGACTGTTTCCCATCAAATCCTCCCCATGTCTAGCTTCCTAACCACCTGTCACGTTAACTCGCAATCCCTTCCCGCCCATTATGATGAATTCCTGCAGTACTTTTCTCAAAACTTTTTTCACATCATCGCAATCTCAGAAACCTGGCTCAAACCCTATATTCCGTCCTCATTTGTCTCCTTACCTAATTACACCATCATCCGCCACGACCGGGTCAGCCGGACTGGTGGTGGGGTGGCCATATTTGTCCATGATAGCCTGAAGTCCCGAATCCTTGATTACTCCCCGCCCTCCGAACATCCACAAGTGGAGTACCTTCTAGTAGAAATTACCTGTAATAATTCCCCTCTCCTTTACACAGTGATCTACCGTCCTCCCCTTGTTCCTTTTGATCCGTCCTTAGAATCAACCCTACTCAACTTTGTTCCCCTCTATCCTAGAATAATCATCGCCGGTGACCTCAATACCAATTTCCTTTCTAATTCCAAAGACAAAACCTACCTATAAAACCTATTTTTTCTCCTTCATCTTTTTTTCTTTTTATCCTACTCACCATACCCGCAAGGCCGACACTTGGTTAGATTTCTTCATTATAGACTCCGAACTAAATCTCCTCTCCTCTTCTCAACTGCCAGTATCCTTTTTATCATCTCACGACATGATCCTAATAACATATAATATCCAAACCCCTCTGATTCATCCGAGAACCTTCACTTTCCGTCAGATAGACACTCTCACCCGTGAAAAAATGCTACCTGACCTTGAAACCTTAGACTTAAACGAAATATATTCCTGCTCCTCCATCGACTCCATGGTTGAGATCCTGTCTTCCAATCTCCTCAATATCCTTGACACCCATGCTCCCATAAAAACCTCAACCTTTCGCCACCGGCCTGCACCTTGGAGGTGTCAAGAAATTAAGGATCTGCAGAAGAGGCGTGATGCTGCCCGTAGACGCTTTAGACGTACCAGGCTTACAGATGACTATCAAGCGTTTAGGGTGCTCCGCAATTTGACACAAACAAGAATTCGGCGAACTAAAGCTTCCTACTTCCATGAAGCCCTTTCATCTGCCCCAGATCCCAAATCTAAATGGCTAATCCTTCGCAAACTTTCCCTCTGTGAACCGTCCAGATCCCCTTCCTCACTGGTCTTTTCCGTCTCACCTGACGATTTAAATTCGCATTTTATTTCTGCCTCCTCTACCTTTTCTCTTCCCTCCTCTTCCAACTTTGCTCCTGAGTAATCATTTAATGATGATGACTTGTATTTCTCCGACATTTCCCCGACTGACTTACTAACCGCAGTAATGAAATCCCACACCAATTCCATAGGACCAGATGGCATTCCTGTCAAATTGATAAAATTATGTCTCCCCGAAATCCTCCCAGTTCTCCTTTTCATTTACAATTTCTCCCTACAGAACTCAATATTCCCTTCCTCTTGGAAAAAAGCCATTGTACTCCCTTTAAATAAAAAGCCTAATCCATCCTCTCCCGAAGACTTTCGCCCAATCTCAATTCTTTCCAATCTCTCAAAACCCCTAGAAAGATTGGTGCAATCCCAAGTTTCCAATTTCCTAGAAAAGTCTAACCAACTCGATCCTCTCCAATCTGGTTTCCGTCCCGGCTACTCCACACAATCCGCCTTAATCAAAATTACTAATGATGTTCAGACTGCAATAGATAATAAACAACTAACTGTCCTTATACTTCTTGACTTCTCTAAAGCCTTTGATTCCATTAACCATCCCATCCTTTTCAACAAACTAAAATCACTCTCCTTCTCCAATAGCTCCATCTCTTGGTTCCAATCTTTCCTATCACAACGCACCCAAGCAGTCTCCATTCCTAATCAACCACTATCTGCCTACCTGCCTTTATCCTCTGGAGTTGCCCAAGGATCTAGCATATCTCCTCTCCTTTTTAGTTCCTATATCAATGACCTCCATGACTCAATTCTCCATTGTTCCCACCACCTTTATGCAGACGATTCTCAAATATACCTATCCTTTTCTCCCCCTGAGCTATTGGTAGCATTTACTAAGATCCAAGCAGACCTAGATCGAATCTGTGCCTGGGCAAAATTAAACGGATTAAGGTTAAATGCTTCAAAAACTCAGGCCATTGTCATTGGTTCCAAGCCCCTCCTTAGATCCTATACGGACTTTCCCATACTAAACCTTGGTGACCAGCCAATCTCCTTCTACTCCTCTGTAAAAAATTTAGGACTATTTATTGATCAAACCCTCTCCTGGAGTCACCATATTTCTCACATCTCCCGACGGACAGTTTCTACCCTCAAACTATTCCATTGCTTCCGCCATCTCCTACCTCAACATACGCGTAGACTCCTCGTTTCCTCTCTCATCTTCCCCCACTTTGACTACTGCTGTGTGGTGTATGATGGACTCTCGGTGGAGCTCCGCGACAGACTGAAAAGAATAATGAACAGTTGCGTGAGATTTGTAATTGGTGCCCCGAGATACTACCATGTCTCTCACCACTACACTGAGTTAGAGTGGCTCTTCCCCTCCATTCGAAGACAATATTTCCAAGGACATTCCTCAATCATATGATCAACAATCATCGTCCTTCCTACGCCTACAACCTTCTCCAATTCAAGTCCTCAGTCCACTCCCTCTCCACAAGATCTCGACCTTCCGACCTTTACATTCCTACTCACAGATCTGCCTCGTTCCAAAACTCCTTTATTGCTCGCTCTGTTAGTTTTTGGAATTCCCTTCCTATCAAAATTCGAGATTCTTCATCCCTATCTACATTCAAAACCCTCCTATTCCAATTCCTGTCCCGAAAACAGTCCGATACCAGCTAACCTTTTATGTAAAATTACATATTATTT